TATCATGCATCGTGAAATCTGTCCATAGGTATCATAATTCCTATGGCTGGAGCGCAGCTGGGACTGGACAGCCTCCTCTTCCCAAATGCTGATGAAGTCCAGCAGCTCGGCATTCCTCCAGGGGGATCGCCTGGTGTGTGGAGCAGGCATGGCCACCTGGAAAGATACGCTGAGACCACTACACGCATAGATAAATGTCTATCAGGGATGGTCTAGACAGTATTTGGTCCTGCCATGCGGGCAGGGGACTGGACTTGATGACCTCTCGAGGTCCCTTCCAGTCCTAGAATCTATGAATCTATGAATCTATGAATCACCGAGCAAACAGGAAGGGGACATTCAAATTTGCAAAGGAATGTATGGGGTGGGGTGGACAGTTGATCACCTGAGGGCAAAGCAATAGAGTTCAAACCGATGACCAGAGAGGTGAGAACAGGCATTGTGGGACACCTCCCAGAGGCCAATCGCAGTGCTGTAATTGCCACGGTGTCTACAGTGGCACCGCCTCTCGTTGGGGTGGGTTTTTTAGAGCGCTACAACTTCACAGTTTCTGGGCACTAAGTGGCTTGGCAGTCTGTACACCTCGGGAGTTACAGCGCAGAAAGCTGCTTTACTGCGCAGAAACTTGCCAGTGTAGACGGGGCCTTAGAGAAGCCCAGGATCTCACAAAGGAGCGATCTTTTCTCTTCTGTCCTGTGTGTTTGCAATAGGTAAAGATTTGGGGGAAATACTTATTTATGCTGTGGGGAGCAAATATTTATAAAGCACATTGTAAATAAAACACCTAGTGATGAACTTGCAACTGGAATGCATAAGGATTGTTTGCAGTGAGAATCCAGGGTGAGGGAACCCCATTCTGTGACTCCAGAAATGGTCTAGTCCCTTAGTGCTTTATCAATTAACCGTTTTTTAACTGTGTACAGTATATCTCCTTTAGCATTCACTTCACTAACTCACTAGATAATGCCTCCATTCTAAGGATTAACATAGTAGCCTTTTTAATTAAGCTTCAGTTCTGTCTCCTCTGGCAACTAAAATCTGAATCTGATCTGAGATAATTAGGAACTTCATTAGCTCCCCATGGAAAGTGATGGATATTTGACTAAAGCCAAGGAATGACAATGGAATACATGAAACTGAAATGCATACAGTCCATTTGACCTGAGTACAACACAATATCTTATAATTAAACCATTTCTTCAAGTATGTTCAGTTATCTACATAGCTTATCTAGAAAAGATGTATTACAAATGTTAGAGAGGTAAAAAGACTGCCTGGAATAGGGCAGTATGGTACACACTGGAATTAAAAAAAAGCAAAACAGCTTATGTTTTCCTGTTCATTTTAAGTCTAAAATTCACAGGTGATAAATGAGCCTGCAGCTGTAGTGTAGTGTTATTGGAGCACTATTTCTTGTGGACATTTTATTTGTCACAAGTATGCTTTTCTTTCAGAGCCCAATCATGAAATGTATTTTAACAGGTTATCTGTACTAACATTTTATCACAATAAAAGCACAAATTTCATAATGGGAAGCATTCACGTTGAACATGAGCAAAACATGCAAATCCAATTTCCTTCTGTTTAGATTTTATTAGAGTGTTCTTAAACCTTTATTTTAAGCTGTTTTATTACATTGAGATGATGGCTAATTCATTACAAAAGGCAGTTGGGGTTATGTGTACTATTTAAAAGCAGTGAGTGGTTTTCTCTTTTGTGCCTATTCATCGACATCTGACCTTTTTAAAACGTTGGAAGGGGGCAAATTGCCATCCCAGGACATTCACTGCTGTTTCCACTTTTCAGATTTATAAAATATTGAAATAAAAAAATTAGGTTAAAAGTTAAATGGTCTTTAATAAGATGAGTATAATTACTAATTGAATTCCCAAGTTTAGTGGCCCCGTGCAGAGAACAGTGCATGAGATTAGAGAAGTGGAAGTAAGATATAGAGTATTAATGCATGTTTCCCTTAGTTGTTTAGTAAAATTCTGGAAATAAGTTATTGCTGAGTCAATCTGATTTGATGTTCTTTCCTTTTCTGAAAGAAGCTACTAGAGACATTCATGCACCTTAGCATTTGGGGGTTTTTTTGTAGCCATGAGTGACATATGATTTAACACCTTCCTCAAATTCCCTCTATCATGATGATTGAGACTGGATATTATCTTAGAGGTCAGTCACTTGATCTTAGGGAAGAGCTCCTAATACTTCCCACTTATTCTTATTCCACTGAACCCTATTAGTATTCACTTAAAAGTGTCTGCTTGCTCTAACCTGCTGACCAAAGATAGAGTGCTGGCATAATAGACTTTAGTCTTCACCGCCAAGGATGTTGGGGAGCTTCCTACCCTGACCTTCTCCTTTCTGATAATAAAGAGGAGTGCTCTTGGAGAGTGACATGTCAGAAGAGGAGGTGCTGGAGCAAATTTATAATATAAAAACCCAGATTATATAAATCCAAGAGGTTTGATGGATCTTAACTACGAACTGGCTGAGCAACTAATAAAAATGTGCAATACCTCTTTAAAAACAACAAATGGGATTACAGATAGCAAATGTTATACCTGTATTTTCAATAGGCTCTAAGATTGATACAGTTAGTTATATACTGTAAGCCTTACATCTGTACTTGGCACGCTGTTTGAAATGATCAATAAAAAAAGAATAAGAAAACACTTGGAGGATCACAATATGATAACCAGCATAGCTTCTGAAAAGGAAAACTAATCTCTCAGAATTCTCAAATGTGTCAATAAAATAGTGGATAAAGAAGATCTGGTAGACATTTATTTAGATTCCAAAAGGCCTCTGACAAGTTACTGCACAAGAGATACTCAAGAAGCTAACCAGTCATAAGGTGAGAGGCAAAATATTGTCATGGATCAAAAACAGGCTTGGAGATAGAAAACAAAGACTAGGATTAATGGTCAATTTTCATCGTAGAAAATGGTTAACAGCAGGGTTCCTGAAAGTTTGTACTAGGTCCTGTGTTGTTTATCTATGTATTAATTATCAGGAAAGTGGCAGGGTGGGGAGGAGTAGTGAGGTAGCAGAATTTGTAGATAGCGCAAAGTTATTTAAGTTAGTCAGGACAGGAGAGGACTGAGAGAGATTCAGAGAGACCTAGACAACCTCGGTGAATGAGCAACATGATGGCAAAGGCAATTCTTTTCCATTATATGCAAAGCAATGCGTGATGGAAGGGAAAAACAAAACAAAACTACTAGTTCATCTTGCAGGGTTCTAAATTAACCCTTCCAACTCAGGAAAGAGACCTGGATGTCATTATAGATAGCTGAATGAAGACTTCTGCTCAGTGTACAGCTGTGGTCAAAAAAACTAACAAGATATTAGGTTGCATAAGGACTGGGATGATTAATATTATTACCACCTTTATATAAATAAATGTGGTGGCCTCATCTGGAATGCTGTGTGCAATTCTGTTCACCTCATCTTAAAATTGATATTGCTATACTAGAAGGAGTTCTAAGGGTGATGAGAATGATCAAAGACATGGAATAACTTTCATATGGAGAGAGAGCCTGGGATTCTTTACCTCAGAAATAAATGAATAGGAGGGGACATGATAAACATCTATAAAATAATGCATGGAACAGGGAAGGTAGATGGGGAATGTCTGTCTCTTCTCCCTGTTTCATAAGAGAAGAACCAGGGGACATTCAATGAAGTTGAAAGGTGGGAAATTCAAAACTGATAAAAGGAAATACTTTTTTCACACAATATATAATTAAATTGTGGAACACACTGGCACATTCTCATTGAGACCAAGAATTTACCAAGATTCAGGAAGGGATTAGGTGTTTATATGGATAACAAGAGTATCCAGAGTCGTCGTCATTAAATATGACAAAAAATTGTGGAAGGGATATTAAACATCATGCTTCAGAGTTTAAGACAGTTTCTAACTATTAAATACCAAGCTGAGACCAAATGTGGGGGACAGATTACTACACATCTGCCTGCTGTGGTGCTCTTACCTACCTCTAAATCATTGGGTACTAGCCACTGTCAGAGATAGGATACTGGACTAGATTTATCTCAGGTCTGATTCTCTATGGCGGTTCTTACAGACTGTGGGAAAGCTACAAGAAAAATAGCTGTATCACCCAAGATGAAATAGAGATGAGCCTGCCTATAAAATGAGGATTAACTGCTAATTTTGTGATGATTATGAGTGTTAGTCCACAATGAGTATCTGTTCTTGTTCCTTGGCACCACAAAGCAGTTCAAGAAGTTATTCAGGCTCCTGACCATGGAGATCTGGGACAAATCCTACTCTGCTTTATTTGTCTTTGCTATTTACATCCATTTTTGTTTTGTAGTGCTTTGGAACAGCACAAGTTCTTTCATGGCCTAAATGCAGTAGGTTGATTTATTCTCCTTTATACACCACAGGCACTGGTGACAATCTTTTATTACTAGGAAATACAGTACCTGTACTGGTGAGCACTGAAAAAGAATTGACTCATTGCACACTCATTCAGTACACTTATGCAATGAATGGAAAAGTAAACTTTTCTGTAAAACGTTCAGTGAATCCTTGTGAGAGACATTCCATAGTTTATTACAAATAATCTAAATGCTTTTCTGTTAGAGCTATCAGAAATCTGCTGTGATGAATATACTGCTTGAGATTCTCTCTTGTAGTTTATGACAGCAGTACAAACCCTTTGAATGAATGACCGCCTTGTGTTCAGTTTGGGACTATCTATTATATAATCCTGTACATCATCAGGTCACTACTTTAATCCTAAATTATACATATATGCAACCATAAAGCATTAGAAATAGGCTCATCATTTTACAAGTATTTACCCATCCAAAGCCTTCACCCAATTATAATATATCCTAAAAGCTTAAGGAATATTTGCTGAAAGGAAAACTTTCATCTAAAACATAATAGTGGCACAAAAGAACTTGCAGGTTTTTCAGACTATTGTAATATAACATAATTTAATGTTTTGTTTTATTACTAGTTCTGGACTTCTTGCCTTAGGAAAGCCCTTGGACAGAGAAAGCACTGATCGCTACATTTTGATTGTCACAGGCTCGGATGGCAGACCAGATGGGGTGAGTTTCTATTGAGAGTTTAAGAAAGAATTTAGTTATCATACCAAGATGTTGGGAGCTAGAAATAATACAACCATAGAATCTTTTATCTGGGTCTTGAATGAATAGATCTATGACTTGCAGAAATTTCCCTATATGCAAGAAAGGTTTGTGCAGGTACCTCCCATGCACCACTTTGAAAATGTACCACTTTTAGACACTAAAACAAAAATGATTTTGCCAGCTCACTTTTGACATTTCTTTCTTCTGCAATAGCAAGAATAAATACAATAAATGCAACTGTTTGTCATCCAGCTGTGTGGGATCTTGTGACCATTCAATTTCCCTGATACGTGGAGTCCAGTCTCCCTGCCTGTCTCCTTCTGCATACCATTTTGAAAGAGCTCCCTTTTATTGTGTGCAGTCATATTCTGTGTCATTTTCTCTGTCCTATTAAATGTGTTACTCAATCTTGTTTCAGAATTTGCACATGGCAAATGATGTCCTAGTTCAGTTTTTTTAAAGTACTTAAGGAAATCAATTTGCACGAGTGTTTGCCAAACTTTTTATGAACTATAACAGGCCTTTTTCTTTTAGTTGGAAGTGTAGCAAGAAATTTGCAACGTATCTATTAGGAGTTTTTGACTTCTTTTTCTGCATGTTCTGCCAGAGGCAGTTAGACACTTGACAATGTGTCGAGAAGTTAGATTAATCTATCTCTCATTACATTCTAATGATTTTTTAAATTACCTATTGTTATTCCGCTTCCCTTAAACTCTCTCTGCTTGTGTATTCTTAGCTTCTGCGGTCTTCGGAGTGAGGATCATCCATCTTTAGTGTTTGGAAAGCACCTTGCACATAGTTCAGTCTATAATAAATAAATTTGTTGAATTACTGGCTGTTCATTTCGGGTTTCTGAACCACTTTTTCAGAACCTTAACTAAAGAACTAGAAGAAAATCATTTTGCCTCTCTAAAAATGAATTCGAAGCATTTCATCAAGTATATTTTAGCACATTTAATGAAACTGTAATATGGTTCTTAAATAATAATATTACCCACACAAAAGCGTCATTAATTCAGAGTACATCTACACCTCTCACTCCTTAAGGCAGTGAGTGCATAGAGTACATATGCTACCCCTGTCTCTCCCCCAGCATGGGTATCAATAGCAGTGTAGACAGTGAGGCACTGCTTAAGTGAGTAAAGGTATGCCTGAACCCTTAGGGTATGTACTGGGTATGTACCTACATGGCTCTCTACTTGCCCAAGCAATGTCTTCCCATCTACACTGCTAAAAATAGCAGTGTAGTGTCCCTCTGCCAGTGCCAGAGCCTTTCACTGCCATGTGTAGCTACACACCATAGTGTGGATATACCTAGGTTTACACTGTGGCGTGTAACAATATGTACCCCACATGCTGCCCTAAATGGTGTGAAACATAGATGTACCTTCAGAGTGAAGGTCCATCAAGTACAGTTCCTGACAATAAGACAAATATTAAAAAGGGAGGAAATCATATGATAAAGTAACACTCACACCCAACAAAAGTCTCTGAGCATTAGCCTACTGTAATTGTGAACCCACATTCTCTTTTAGTGGAACAATATAATTATCTTCAATGTGTATATCAAAGAGCTGAAAATCACATTTTATAATTATACAGATATCTGTATCTAAAATGTGCTTATCCTTATACGTAGAAAACTGGATGAGGTAGTAGTGGGTGTGGAGATATTAGTTGGCACTGCAGGGGCACTCGTCAAAGAAAGGTCAGTAGACAAAGGTCATTCTTAAAGTCTGCAGCAAACCCAAGATGGAAGTTTCCCATCTTAAGAGATGCACAAGCATGGAGTAATTCTTTTGCAGATCTTTCACGATGGAAAGAGAAAAATGGAAGAGAAATGGTTTAAAGTACCTTGGCTGAGTGTTTTTTTCTGCACCTGCTAGAAGTGCAGCACAGAATGGCTCCTCCCTGCAGGAGGAAGAGGCAAATATGACTTAGTCATTTTTGCACCCTCTCCATTCTGTGGACCTCTAGGAGCCAGTGCAATTCCCAGAGTGAAGTAGAGCAACCAAGGGCTGCTCTACATTATGGCACCCCATCCCCCAGACTGACTATGGTCTGGTTCTCGGCAGTAAAAAAAAATCCTGTACTGCTGAGTGCTATTAGGATCATCCTGCTTCCAGCTGCTGGCACATCTCCTATGTTGGAGCTTACAGCCCTTTCATATAGGGGAAACCAGTGTCTGTCCTACACAGTTTGTGCTTGGGGCAAATTCCCCAGTGTAGTTAGTTTTTACAGCACCATAGCAATATACAGGAGCCATAACATGACCCAGCATCTCAGCCCTTCTCTTAATAGTCTACATAAAATAATCTTAAAGTAATTATTGTCTTAATACTTTAATTTTCTTGACACTTTGAACCCTTCTCCATCCTTTAATCTCTATGAGCTCAGCTGCTTTTCCAGTGACCATTTTCATTTTCAGCACAGTGGCCATTTTCATCTCTTACGTTCTATAGCAAAAACTAAATCTGGAGAGTTAAACAACTCCTATTATGGTTTTGGTTATAGAAAGACTATAGTCTGCTGCTGGAATAATATCAAGGCCTCATGAGGATAGTTGAAAATATTTTACTCCTTTTTTCACCTTAAAACCCATTCCTCCGTCACCTCTTGCCCACCCAGACATCTCTTAATTCAACTTTTAAAGTAAAATCTAGTGTTAGCAGCCCACTTCTGAAGTGCTGCTGAGTGTAGCAGCAGGGCTGGAGTTGAATGAAATGTGACATTTTTTCCCCTTTGAAGTTAAATTGCCTAAAGTGCTGCAAAGGAACCATTGTATGCATCTCCCAGCCCTGCCCCCAACCTCTTCAGACATCTGGGTTGATGTACAGCTTCCCTTTCACATGAAAAGTAACTGACTTTCCTTTATGTGTGGAAAGTGAAACTTCATTAATGCCCAGTTATCTATGCAGCTTGGTGGCCAGGTGGGCAGTTTCCTTCAGAGATCAGGTGCCATTATGTCATATGTCAAGAAACTTCACTGTCATTAAATGATCTAATGAAAAAACTGGTGATGACATTCCTGTGTGGTGTTGGGGTTTTATACAAAAGGAAAACATCACACAAAGTCACAGCTGGGCAGTCAAATACTTGGTGTTCATAGACCTGTTCTAATGTCAATCAAAAATATTCAGTGGTCTTTTGCTGTTGGGTCAGATATTTTAAATGCAAGGTGGAGTGGGGAGTTCACAAGTGAAATCTCATTGACTCACATGGTGGTGTCCTTTTTCTCATATCGACTATTATAGATAGGAAACAATGGTTACTTTTTTACGAATGAGGATTACTGCAGTTTTTCTTCTAACTGTTTCACCTTAGACTTTGTTACAGAGGCAGATTCTTTTTTGGAAAAACACTGGTGTGGTGTTACTTATGAAGAGGAACACTGGGAGGAAGGCTTGTTTCAAGTATCTAAACATTGTTTAAGGAATAAAACTACTTATTACATATTTAAACACCATTAGCTGGCATAATAATCTGATTTGTTTCCATCCAGCAATATGCTACTTGAAATTAAATGAATTAAGTAGATTCAAATATACATGGAAAAGCTTAGCTTTTACATTTAATGCAAAATCTGCTTTAAGAATTAACATGTAGAGCAAGGAAAATTACTTTTGTTTTCCCTAAAAAAATTCCTCTCCTTAATTGTAACATGGACATTTAGCTTTGGGACATTTTGCACTCCCATTGTTCAGAGTAAGTATTAGGAACAATGGTTGAATAATCACTTTAAAATATTATCCATTCAGAGTTTCCAAGAACACAGACATTTAGGAAATATGTGAGAACTCCTATTCAGAGTAGAACAAGCAAACACTTTTATATTTTCTTTCATTTATACATACACCTCTACCCCGAAATAACGCGACCCGATATAACATGAATTCGGATATAACGCGGTAAAGCAGTGCTCCAGGGGGGTGGGGCTGCGCACTCCGGAGGATCAAAACAAGTTCAATATAACGCGGTTTCACCTATAATGTGGTAAGATTTTTTGGCTCCCGAGGACCGTTATATCGAGGTAGAGGTGTATTTTGGCAGTTTTAAAGTTGTTTGAATTCTGTGTGGCTTCAGCAATTGAATGCACTGGACACTTTCTGTACCATGCCCTAGTTGCTTCAGTTTGATTGACATTTTCAGCTTAACTGTCTCGCGAATGAGAACTTCAGCTGCTGTTAGTCAGTTTTTTAAGAACTTTGACTTCTTCTCATCCAGTTTCTAAATAATGTATAAAATAGTAGCCTTCATAAAATGACACTTTGTATACAGGTGCTCTGTGTTTACTGGGAGTTGTTTGAAAAGATAGCTTAAGTAATATTGCTTCTTGAGTTTACAAATATATAAAGTGGACTGTAAAACAGTTCAATTTAAGAGTTTTTCAAGTTCTATAGAGTTGCCTGCATTTCAGAAATACAATGTAATCAATGAGTAATGGGAAAGTTGGGAGTAAACATTGGTAGAAAACTTTTATATAGTTGTTTTTAACGTATTCACCAGTGTAATATGTCGTAAGCTGTAGAATCATTTTAGACACTACTACTAGAATATAAATTGATCTTATTCATGGAAATGGATCAGCAGTGCACAGGTTTTCAACTGACTTCTGATAACTCCAACAAGCAGTACTGCTTTCCATTTTGCTGCACAGCATGTGTGACATCATTTTATCATTTTGGTCCTTCTTATACCTTAAAATGCTCTTGATTGTTTGAAATACTCAGCCATGCTTCCCAAGCTATATTCGTTCTGGTTTACAGTGCTAGAAGTTTAGTAGGCACATGGTTTTTATGCTGACCTTGAAATAACATAACCAATTGCCTGTCCCTGAAACACCACAACACAAACAGTTGAATATGTATAAAGGATTTATAGCCAGTTATTGTTTCCCCAGTTATGAGGCTTATCCATAGATAGACAGAACAATGACAGGTGAAAGGAAAAATCTGTCA